CTTTTCTTATTAAAAAATTTCAAAACTATTTTTCAATCAAATGATACATTTTCTAATTAGGTTAGAAAATAGTCTTGAAATTTTTTAATAAAAAAAGAGAGAAGAAGAAAGAGGCTTGGGGTTAAGGGAGAAAGAATCCATCATGCTATTTTTTAATGGTCTTCTAATTGGGTTTGGAGTTATGGGGCACTTAAATGGATGGGTAGAAGAAAATTAAATGAGTTAGGATTTAATTTATCCAATAAGAAAATGACATGTAATAAATAATAATAATAATAATAATTTTTCTTAAAAAAGGTTGTTAGATTTAGGGTAGAAATGGACCAAAATTGTGGATTGAAGGATATTTTTAGCCCAATAAATGAATGAAGGATATATTTAAACATTTTCAAATAGTTCAAGAGTATTTTTGTCCCTTTTCCGTTTCTTTTTTTAGTTAAGTCTGATACTAAATATAAAATTCAAAAAATAAGTTCATTTTTCATTGAGTTATATTAATTTAATAGATAATGGCTTAAAATTTTATTTTTTAGAGGTCAATTGGGGAACATGTAAGAAATTGTATTATTTTTATTGAACAATTTTCATTTATTATCTTGAATATTTTAGCAGCTTTAAAGAAATTATCTTAATAACTAATGTTCTATCAATTTTACAGCATGTAAAAAATTAAAATTAAGTTTGAACCCGCATAAAATCACATATTCGCAACCCGTTCTACCCCACATAGCCTTAAACCCACCCAATCAGTATCTGCCCCGCCCCATTGTCATTAAAGTAAATATAAAGTTTCGTGGGTTCTATTATGGGATAATTGTACAGAATGACAAACTTATAATCTAAAATAAATGAAGTAGCTACTGTTTGATTTAATTGCGCCCCGTAGCAAACGTTTGCCAGTCGCCTCTCTCCCTCCAAATTCTCGCTCGCCACTCTCCCTTTCTCGCTCGCTCCCTCTGTGCTCGCCTCTCTCGCTTTATACAACAGAATTGTATAAATTGTGTTTCTGTTTGTATAAAGCGAGAGAAAATTGTATATACACACGCAAATACATATATATTCGTCCTATACACTTATAATTATACAATAAAAATATTCCCCTGCCCAGTT